CTGTTGGGCTGGCTCTGGCCGACAGCTCAGCTCAGTGGCAAAGGCCTCCATGGAGGATGCGCTAACGATGTCTCCCTTAATCAACCTGCATTCCTGAAAACCCCTGCTCAGCCGCCCCTTGACCCTGCAGCCAGCGGAGCTCTGCAGGTACCTCGATTTCTCACCCTGCAGCACTCCGAGCACCCCATTGTACCCCCGTACACCTCCAGCTCAGCATCCGGGCTTGGGGGGTGCACTACCGGTGTCCACCTCCCACCGGGAGCATCCTCAGGCCTCATCACACCTGCACCGCACCGCAAATCAGAAACAAGAGAGGCACCACTGAAGGAGCTGGGTGGTTGCCTCACCTCGGGGTTACAGTGCTTATCCGTAACACAGGGCTTTATAACGCTCTTTTCCCTGAGGGACTTCCAACCCCTGTCTTTCACATCACCGGAAAATGCCTTAAAATCTTGGAAGAAAATGATAGTTGCAATCTTGTTTTGAGGCAGGATTTCTCTCCGCCCTTTTGGGTGAGGCTGCACAAACACAAGGACAAAGGTTTCTCTGGTCATCCAAAAAAGCCCTGGTTTCCCCTCCCTTCCCCTGGGAATGGGGAGCTGACCTCCTCCCTCCCTTATCCCTGCAAACCGCACTTCCAGCAGCGGCAAGATGTTTCAGAGCAGGAAAAGGGAAGTTTCCCTGTCCCGAGCTGGTGGTTAGGGCACTCAGGAGGTGGCTTTGAAGCCCCTCAGGGCCCGAGGCAGGTCTCCTGCATCCTCAGTGGCTGTCCTCAACACCGGACTCACAGGCACGACCAGACACAGTTCACCTCCTCTTCCCTGGGTGTAATTTGAAAGAAATCACATTTGCTCTCTTATATTATTATTATGCACTTATCTACAAAGGGAAACTCGGGGGTCTTCAGGGTGAAGCATCATTGGTGCTGTTTAGCATGCTATATAAATGGGAAGGAAAAGCAGGGACTGAAGATGCAGTTTCCACGGTTCCCTTCTGGCCAGGTTGCCATGCGGCAAGCTATGGGAGGTCGGTCTCCTCCTCACCTACAGACCCCAGCCTTCACATCCACCCCAAAGATCAAGACGTTCAGCACTGAAACCTTCAAAACATTTTTTTGATCTCAACCCTTATGGGCGATGTTCACAAGTTTTCCAGTCTATGACCTAATCCCAGAGGAGAAAAAGGTTTTGCTTTGGCTTGATCCGCCTGCCAGACCCAGGACCACGGTCCGGTCACCACAATCTGACCTTGTGTGAGGTGTCCCTGAGCTGTCACATGTCTTTGTACTTGCCAAACTCCTCAGCAGATGAGGTAGCTTCCAGATTTCAGTACTTACTGACAAGTTTCAAGTGGTTTGTCCAGAAAGGCTCTGAATGATTAAAGATCTCTTCAAGCTGTGTTGTTGCCACTGCTTGGTTACTGACCTACACAAGCCTAACAACACAGGAACCAAGGATCTGGCAAAACAAACTTTTCTGCTGTCTTCTAATATTTAGCTTTGCTTTTGAGATGAAAGAAGCACTAATTCCTATTTGTATCCATTCCCATTGCCTGACTTAAGGATTATTTTTTTTAAAGTTCACTGTCAAGAACAGGCCTTCTACTATGATTTATTAAGCTTGAATGCAGCTCACTTTCCAACTGCTGTGCAAATACAAGCTGATTCACTGTTACCAACGCACTGAAGATTTGTTAGCCCTATCTTACAGGTAATAAATCTGTATCAGCACAAGTGTGTGTTTTGCACCGTACAAGCAGGATAAAACCCACAATATAAGCAGGATAAAACCCACAATATATGCCCTGTTTGCCAAAGTATATGCGACTGGGACACGAGGATCACCGTCTCCTTTCTGGCTGAATAATTTCTATTACAGCTTTAAAAAAAAAAGCCTCTTCCCACAGTTTTCGTATCTCCACATGCTAACCAGCCCGTTCTTGGAGTGTACTTTCAGTCAAACTTATAACCTTTAGCTTTCCAGACAGATCATTTCCTATTATGAACAGAGATAAAACACACAGAATGCAGGAAATTTTAGAAGCTACCTTTTCTTCTTTCCTTTGTCTCATGTTTTCACGGTCTTGAGGTATCTTGGCACCCTGCAGTGCAGCAGATAGTTAAAAGAAGGGATGGTTCCCAGGGAAGAATTGTTAAGAGCGTGGCCAGTGCCAGCACTGCAGCTGACTTCTAAATCGCCTGCAAATGGAAATGCAGCATATACACACAAGCTAGAGAAAATCACCACAAGATTTCACTGTTCAGTATTAGTTTTGCATTATTTCTGATAATTGTCCCAGTAATGTCAAAGATATTTGAAGAAAGACTTGTAAATAGCATGCATCCAAAGTGATCCTGCAGAAAACACTCAAAAATAGCATGAAGGGTTCTCAGTGCCATCTGACATGTTTCTTCACAACTTCTTAGTAGTCAAGCTTGGTCTGCCACCAGAGAGAACATGGAGATTTCCTCAGCATCCTGAAGAAAAAAAAAAAAAAAAAAATCACACCAAATTCTGATTCAGAGCACTAAGGTACTTGAGAGAAAAAAAGAAAAAGGAAGTCTCAATTATGAATTCCCATCTTTCATAAATAACTGCAAAGCTCCATTCTCACACTCCACAGGGACTTTCTAGCCTGTTCTTCTGGCCTAGCAACCATGACCTCCTCCTATGAAATCACATCTACTGCCAGCTCTCTGGGGTCCATTACGCCAAAACTGACTGCATTTCCCCGTTTTATATAAATTACAAAGCAGCAAGAGCCCCATCCATTACTGCAGCCTTCTCCCCTGCTCTGTTTGGGGGTAGGTAGTTCGCAGCCTGAAAAAGAACTGTACGGCAACAGGAATCATCGCAAGGAAACAAAGAAACTTTAAAACACAAAAGATCATTTAACATCCGCAGCCTTGCTCTCCCATAAAGCATGTTGGCTGACCACTGCCCCACCACCACATGGGACTTCTCACCACTGAAGCAGTACGTAAGCCTGCCAGAAGGATTGCAACACTGGCCTCAGGAGCTTCAGACAGCAACAGAAAAGCAAGCTAGTGCCTAGAAAAGGACATGCTCAAGTTGGTCAGGAGACACACTCTCTTTTCAGCTGCAGGACAGCATAATTTCACATACATACATTTCAAATACACAGAATTTGTACTTGGATATATTATGCCAAAGTCTAAGCCTACTAAGTTTTCCTGTATTTCAGGGCTCCGTAACTGTGAGGACAATTCATTACTATGACACAAAACGACCTCTTAAGCGTCACAAAGAAGTCATATGAACACTTGGATGAATGAGTTACTTAGGTCAAACTCTTCAGAGAACTAAAGGATGCCGCATCTCCACACAGAAAATACGGCATAGATGCTCTTCTCTGCAGGACTGTGAATACCTCTTGGGGATCTCTCTCAGCAAATGGTCTGTAACAGCACAGACTGTAGCCTGAAATTAAGTCTTTTTGTTACCAAAGTCTGTTCTTTCCCATCTAACCGTTTGCGAAACTGTATCCAACTAATTCTGTCCCAGTTGTTCACAGAATGACATGGTTTTGAGAAATACATAGCAGGTGCTCAGATTAGAGAAAGACACAAGGAAGTCTTTTATGAAGATTTGCAAAGGGAAAGTGGAGAGCTACCGGCCTAATGCGTTTGTTAAGCTTCAGCACAATTTGCGGTACATTTGACAGAGTTTTAAGGGACTGAGGCAGAATGGAACCCATCAAGATACTCCACAGAGGCTCTTTCACAATCCCAAGCCAATGTCTCCCACTATCTGACCTGATTTGATCCCCTTTAGTGCAGCTCCACCCAAAGTAGGAGCTCCTCAGCTGGCTAAGTGACCTCTAGTGGCACTTTTCCACTAGCTTGGGGGTACCACTGAGAACGATCGGGGGTTGAAAGCTGTTAGAAAACTTGCTTATATGGTAGTGAGCAAACTCCAAACAATTTTAACTGCTTGCATGCATTTCATTCAGATTAAAATCAAATGTATAAATGAGAAAGGCTGATTTCTGAAGAGTGGCTAACAGCTCTTGGCTACGTGATTTTTAACAGTCATCAGAATCAAAGCGATGGCTGTTGGCCGCATGACAAAATTCCCTCGGTAACACAGCCACATAGTAGGGCATTCAGAATGTTTCTTTGCAATGTCCTTTATTAAAGATTCTCTTTGATACAGAATATTTAAGCAAAAATAGTTTTAAAACCCTGTTTTGGTAATTCTTACAGGAGTCTTTTGTGTAGTCACTGTTACAGCAGCTCATGTTGCCATTTGAGGAATAAATCTTTATGAAGTGTCAGGTTTTTGACAGCGTGGAGATCTGTTCCGTACAAAGAAGCCATAACAGTAAGCATTGAAAAATGCCTATAGAAAACAGGAAAACTCTGAATTCTGGCCTTCGGCTAATAAAGAAATTTAACAATTGTGTCACAGACACGTAATTCTTAATGAATGAAGTATCAGAATGGGAAAATGCATCCTCTAAAGCTTATAAAAGTCATAGCAGTGCACGCAAATACAGCAAAAGAAGAGGATATGCCACAAACACAGACACTTCAATACAATGTTGAATCTTCAGCATGGCGCTGCCCAGCTACACCTGTGAGTCTGAGCGCTATTGCCAATACTGGAAATTTGTCATCTAACAACTGCGTGGCAACTGACACCACCCACCCAGATGGGATTCTGCCCCAAAAAATTAGACAGCATAAACAGATTCTGCTTTGACTTCTGTCTGCCAAGGCTGTTGCACAGCCTGTTTGAGACCCAGACGGTCTCCTTCATTTTATTCTTTTCCATCTAAACCGATAATCTTATTTTATACATTAAAGAACAGTAAATATATGTTTCTTTGGATCACAGGATAGCTCCTATAGGTGCGGACATTCTCATTAAATAGATTAGGTTCATCAGGTATCCAGATTAACAAACCTTTTGGCACACGGAAGATGACTGAGGACACAGTACGTGCCCTTGTTGCATAGCTGTAGAGCATACGTATCTCTTACAATGAGCATTTTAGTCAGAATCCTTAAATTATAACCAAAACACTACGTAAGGGGTTGCTTGAGGTCAAACAAACCAGTCCCTCCTTTAACAACTTTTCCAACCACTAGGCATGCAGAAGGGGATCGCAGTTCATCATAGGCACCTGTAACAGAAGTCAAACAAAATGATATTAGGATGTTTCCAAAGATTTCCCAAAGGTCAGTGCTGAAAAGAAAGTATTTTGGTTTACATGCAAGAAGTCACGTGGTTCAGGCTGCCCTAGTTTCAGAAAGGCACTGCCACCTACCATTTCGATTCAGTTTGTATTTCTGAGAGCAGGAGTCCAAAACTCTTCCTACCCCTCCTACAAAAACTATTCTCTCTTTCCAATCCTTTCGTGCAAGCAGAGAATCAGGCCACACATTAGTAAACTCTCCCTATTCAGCATGAAAAGACAACATGTTCTGAATTCTAAGAGAACCCAGATTTGACCTTCCGGTGAACACGTTTTGCAGATTAAACAGATTGCTAAAAAAATACATCAATGAGGCAAAACAAAAAAGATTCCCTATTCATTGCTGCCTTTCTCCTTTGTTAAGAGTGAATCCTTTTGATGTGCATTTTAAATCCTTCTGGCTAGATACGAAGAGAACTTTTCACTGGAGAGACATTCCATGAATTCCTTTGATTTTGTGGTTACTCACTGTAGCGAAATAGTGTCACAGAAATTTGGAAGCTCTCCAGACGACATGTCTGGCTAGAACTGTTTTGCTTTCGCTGTTTTTATAAGCATCCAAAGTGTTTTTCACTCATCCTAACTACCAGGAAGCTGGAATTTTGTCATTAGAGCAACTGGAAGATTGGAAATAAAATTGTTAAACTTCTGATAAGTTTGGGTGATCTTTATTCTACTGAGCAAAACATACTGAACTTTCTATCATAGAGAGGCTGGGGGGAGGCGCTGCACCACAGCACAGTGTATGGCATGTGCTTGTGGCTCTGATCTCAGCTACAGCTGAATAATTAAATAGCTGCTCCTAAATGTGTGTCAGCTAAAGAAAAAAACCCCACAAACTCCTCCTTTGTTAGACTATTAAACAAAACAGTGATAACTGTCCTATCTGCTCACGTGATGTTAACAAAGAGTTATTCTTCAAGCAGACAGCCAAAGGGATCTGACTTCTGATGCACACTGAACCCAGATCAGCAGTCTGCTGGGTCACACCTACACTCTAATGGCACTTCTTCTCATGTTAGCTGTTCACCGTGGTCACAAGCCTTCTTTTTTCCTTCTTATTGACCAGAGCCCACAAGCAGGCACCCTTGCAGTATCTCTTTAAAGTTACCAATTACGTTAAAGCAAATTAGAAACAGACTGCTGCAATCCGCATTATGACTCTGATTTCCTTCTTGCTGAAATCACTAATTCCCTCCACTTGTAAGCAGCGTAGCTTTCCTGCCTTTCACCGTGCCCTTCTGTCAGTATGCACTTCATGTCTTTATTCATAGTATTATCCATAAATATAATTACATTACACTTGGCAAAAACCTTATCTTGTTTCTAAGTCAATATGTGATATAACATAAATCCAGAGAGAGCGTGCAACTGTGCAAGAAACATCCTCTTCTATCCAATTTCACCCCAGACTTAACACTTTTCCTTTCTGATTTTCAGATGAATTAAGTCAATTATAACCAATACCATTCATTAAAACCTAAATTACCTTCCTGAAAAGGTATAACAGCATTAACAAAAAGGAATTCAGTGATAACAGTATCTCTGACATCTGTGCAAGGTGGTTTATCATACTAGCTGAAGAAATCACACTGAGAGCTTTTCCCATTTGTATTAGGCAGCAAAGAAGGCAGCACAGGAGCTTTCCAGAAGGAAAGCATCCCAGAAAGCAAGACTATCTGCAAAAGGGAGGAGCAATTAGTATCCGAAGCACGAGATCAAGCAAACTGCCTAATGACAGACTTAAAGCCCAAGTATTTTGGGTAGACTCCTAAATGTAGATGGCTAGTGCCATTTCAAATGTCCTAAATGATCCCTGCAGCCATGTGATCTCTACACCTTCCAGAGCAGCAACCAGCAGTCAGAAAGGATACTCTTGGGCTTCTAAAATGGCACCAGAAACCTACCATTAGAGAAATCAGTCTGACCCTTTATCTGTGTTTGAGGAAAAAAGCATAGACAGTAAAGTGCTACAAAGCAGAAGAAAAATAGAATCAAAGTGACAACCAGGAGGACTGTTCTCACAATAAAATTCTGAATAGCAAGGTTAGAGAAGAGATAAAAATATGTGAGTTAGAGATATGAAAACAAAGGAGAGATGACAATTTTAATGGCAGAGTCTGAAAAAGGGAGATTTAGTAGTCCTTTAAAAGGCTTTGCTATAACAAATCTTAACAATATTAAGGTTTGTTATAAAAATGCCTATCTAATTCTTAAAGAAAGGAGTCACAGACCCCACAAATTGCATGTGGGAGCTGACTTCATTTAAGCTGACAGAATTTTATTAAAAACATCTGGAACATTTTCCTAGGGAAGGGCTTAATTAAAATTTTAGCCTCTGGCATTTTTTTCTAATGCAATTATGCATTACTCAAACTAGTGGAAAGTTATAATGAAAACAAAGCGTATGTGAAATACTGCAGCAATGTAGTTCAAACTAAACCGTTTACCCATCATTGTTGCTTCCTTCAAGAATTTGTAGCTGGTTTCAAATGTCATCTGTTGCAGAGGGGAGGAGTTGGACTGAATTCCAAAACGATTCAGTGGTTTATAAAATCCTTCAAAACACATGTAATCTGCCACGAGTGAAAGGTGCCGAGGGTCTACCACAATGCCTAAGAACATAAGAAAGAGCAATCATCAGAGCATTCAAGGATTAAGGGTTTTTTTTTAAATAAATCGGGTCTAAATTAACCCCCCTCAATCTAATCAACATGGACAACATCTCTGTTAACATTCTGCTGGCAGTTGCACCTCTTTGTGTGTAGTTGGCTCAACTGCTCCCCTCAAATATCCAAGAGAAGCAGACCTCACTATAATATAAACCAATCTCTCTCCAGGGAAACTAAAATGTCAAGAATGCTGTAAGACAGCAGAGTTTCTCTACATAAAATCAGTAAGGTCTGCATCATCTTTGTTTACAAAGAAGGAGATCACACATCCATCCATTCGTGATGGGACAGCTCTACCCCCTCATGCTGCATTAGCTAGGCACCAGAGTCAGAAAGGTTCTGATATTTTCTGTGCATGGTATTAGGCATCCACAGAA